ACAAAAAGGTCACCCATCATCTGGTCTACAATACATGGAAGGATAATAGAAAATTATGAGGGTTTCACATTTTTAATCACTTTTCTTCTGTCTTCTAAAATAAACACAAATTACTCATTAATAAGAAAAAAAATCACCTTAGCAGATAAACCATGGGGTGGGAGTCAGATTGCCAAATGGGCCAGCTCCCCCCTTCCATGCTTTGTGTGTCTGAAGTTAGCAGTGTGCAGGATGAGTTTCCAAACTGTGTTCTTATTGCTTGTCATGTAAATTAAAGACATTGTATTTAACACTTTTCCATACTTTTAGATAAACTTGTTCTTTGCAAGAATAATTGGTGTTTATTTTCCAAAACTTTGCTGTGAACAGATGTGATGACAAGCAACAGCATTTATCTAATGAACTACAGCTGTCTTAATCGGGCTCCTCCAGTCTTCTGTTGCACTTGTAAAATGCTACAAGGAATATTAAAAATCTATTCACTTTAACTTATAACAGCTTATGAAATAAAAATATGAGTCACAAAAAAAAGAGAAAAAATCACAGTGAGTTGGGGACTCTAGAACTGCCCATCGCCCTGTCCAGAAGACACCCAAGGCCTACTTCCTGCTGAGCTGTTTCTGAGCTCCCTGGGACAGGGCAGAACATGGAGCAGCCATGATTCAAATAGAGGTGTTTAAAACTCAAGGTTCTTCTCTCTTCTTTATCTGACTGGGGCATTGATTACACACAGCTGTTTGTGCTGAACCCCATGGAATGCTGTACCCCTCAAAAAAGCTAAAAACAACTCTAACTCCTGTATATATATATATTTTTAAGTGCTTTGGGCTCAAAACAAAAGAAGTTCCAGTTTAAAAAGGGGAGGTAAGGGGAGGAAGGGTCCACCTTTCCTGAATTATCAGGTCTGGCCAGGTGTATGCAGCAGTCCTTTAAACCAGGTCAGCTCACCACCCCATGACTGCAAAGACAGCCACACCCTGTCCTCTGCAGAGTGGAGGTAATCACCTCTCTGCCCCAGGGCTGTGTGAAGATGAAGGGTTGACTGTCCATGGAAAAGCAGTGCAGCATCACCAGGAGCCCCGGTCCTGCCTCTCCTACACAGGATCCTGGAAGAGAACCCAGCGGCCTCCTCTGACCCCTATGGTGGGCCTGTTTGCTATTAAGCACATCCTGAGCTTCAGCATCCCTAGCATCTCCAGCTTGGCACAACACCAAGGCAGCAGGAACTGTTTCCAGTGAGCCCACAGATGGGCTCCAGTGTCCAGGCTCTCCTCGAAGACAAAGGGTCTCTATTTAACTCTGGCCTCAGGAGAAAGATTTCCTCTTCTTGCTAGTCAAAGACTTTAAGCCAGCTGGGTGTCGGTAGCTCGCACCTGTAATCCTAGCTACTCAGGAGGCTGAGATCTGAGGATCACGGTTCTTCAAAGCCAGCCCGGGGAAGAAAAGTCCAAGAGACTCTGATCTCCAATAAACCACTAGAAAACCGGAAGTGGCGCTGTGGCTCAAAAGGTAGAGCACTCACCTTGAGCTGAAGAGCACAGGGACAGCGCCCAGGCCCAGAGTTCAAGCCCCACGACCAACCAAAAAAAAAAAAGATGTTAAGCCAAATAAACTAGAAGCAAACTCTAAGGGCAAAATTATCATCAATGCTAATTAACATAGCTTCCTCTCTTGCTTCTCAAGGTCAGGCCTCCCTCCAGATGACTACAGGGTTGCTGGCAGGGTACATGAATTTAAAACCCTTCTAAGAAGTCTAGCCACTAACAGAAAAGGCAAAGGGCCCAATCCCAGCTAGCCACAACCAAGACCTCACAAAGCCAGAGACAGTAGTCCTCCCTCCCTCCATGTGTGAACCTGTCCATTCCTTTGCCTCCTGAAAGCCAATCTCAAGACCAAGGAAGAAAATCAAAAGGAGTCTGACCTAGGATGCCAAGCTACCTCCCAAATTTCATGCTGCTTCCAAAAGTGAGCCTGCATGCTGCATTGCTTATTTGCACAGCAGGCAGGCAATGAGGCTGACAGACTGCAGGGCTATTTTAAGGGAATATGCTGCAAGTCTGGCTTGGATAGGGCATTGGGCCCTGTGCTCCCAGGACAGATCCCATGACGCCCTTCTATCCCAGCAGAGTTAACCGCCTGTCAACCAGCAAGCACAGTGTGTATATTCAGGTCCTCTGGACAGAGGGCCCACACCACCAAGCTGGCAAAGAGCTGGAGGAGCAAAGGAGAGGAGGAGGAGGAGGAGGAGGAAACGGAGACAGAGGAGACAGAGGAGTAGGACCCTCCACTAGTGAACTTTGGAGACATGCTCCAGGAAGCTGAAAACAAGGCAACACAGACAGAGACTGGGAATATTAGCCTGAAGGTGGCCAAGATCCTCACTCATAATTACAAAGGTACACTTTTTAGGGCTGGGTTCCAATTCTTGCACTATGTACTCCCATCATTGGGCCACAGGGCAGCTCCAACTCCAGCTGAGAAAGCAAGCAGGTCCTCAAGCCCTTCATGAGGACTCTGAAGGTTCCTGGGTCATTCTGAGGCCTTCTCTGCTCTCAGTAGCACAGGCAGTGAACATTCACATACAACACTGTTACACATTTATGTATTGTCACATTTACATACCAGTGTATACCTCTTTTTTTTTTTTTTTACAATGGGCAAGCTAAGTATCCTCATTGGATTGCATTCCCAATTACAAACATTCTACTATGAAACCTGATTACTTGATTGGCTGAGGTAGGAGGTATTGTGTTCAAGGCCAGCCTGACCTGCCATCACTGTAAATTAGTCACCAGCCGGGGCTATGTAGCAAGAACCTCTCAAAAAGAAAAAAAAAAAAAAAGAAGCAAGTTAAAAATTAAAAGAAATAGTCTGGAGACTTCGTGTAAGTGGTAGAGTACCTGCTTAGCAAGCCCTGAGTTCAATCCCCAGTACTGCCAAAATCAAAAAGGAAGAAAAAAATCATCTAGGTGTCAGTGGCTACTCAGGTGGCTGAGATCCAGAGAATAATGGTTCAAGGCTAGCTAGGGCAGAAAAGTTCAATAAACTCTTATCTCCAAAATAGCCAGCAAAAAGTAAACCTGAAGGCATGATTCAAGTGGTAGAGCAAGAAAGCAAACCATGAAATCATGAGGCTGTGACTCAAACCCCAGCACCACCAACAATTAATTGAAATAAAATCTGATTTTAGACCAAATGTCACCTTCCTGCTCTCCACTTGCTCTCGCTGTCTTTTCCTCCTCCTCACTGCCCACCATGTGATTTGTTTACAAACAGGACCTCAAAGACAGAAGACCAAACTAGGAGGCTGCTTTCCTTACAAGTGAGCAGCACAGAATGCTGAATGAAGCATGTGTGCCACAGCAGGCTGAAGGCCTCCACTCCTCCTCTCCTCTTGAACACATCCACTGCTATCCATGCTAATGAGGCGCCAGGATTTCTCCAACTTGGATCTGGCATCTATTTTAAGGCCCCATAAACCACAGTGCGTTGTTTCAGTGAACCTGAACTCAAGCATCATGAACCAGGGAACTTGCCCCTCCACCCTGCTGCGTGCACACCAGACTCTCTTTAGGGAGAGCACATTCTAAATTAGCTCTAGACTTAAAGGACAAGGAACACCGAAAGCAGAATTTGAACCTAACACCAAATGACATGCCATACTGCTCTTAACTGTGAGTAATGCACTGGACAGATGAAAGGGCCCTGCTGCAGAATTTCTCCTATTATAGATTAGTAAGAAATACAAGATTGCTTTACAATTCCTTTCGGAGTGTTCATCCTTCTTGAACCAGCCCAGGCCCGATTCTCACTCATAACTGGCACAACCTAGCACAATTCCCCTCCTGCTCTGAAATCTAAGAGGCTTGCTTGCTCCTAGGTAGACTTAGACCTGGCATGCTCCAAGACAGACAGTGGATCACAGATGCTGGCATAGGCCTGCCAAACCGGAGCTCTGAGCTGGAACAACCTTAGAGCTGATGTGGACAACAGCCGTCCAGGGCAGGAGGCCTGAATGACACTCCGGAAAATGCGGTGTGTATAAAAGACTGTTTATAGTGACTCGTGCAAATCGCACGCTCAGCCACGGTGCAAAGGATCACACTTTACAATTCACCCACCCAAAGCACTGCCCTGCCACCCCCAAACCCACCACGACCACCCTCACAGGCGGCCAGCCCCGCAGACCATGCCCTCCCAGCCCCGCAGCCTGAGGCCTCCAGCAGGCCGCAGCGTGGCGATCTGGACAGCCCGGGTTCAAGCGCCAGCAATAAAGTAAGAGGAGAGAGAGGGCGGGTAAAGCCGCGTCGTGCCCGGCACAGCCACTCCCCAGTTCTCCACTCGGCCGGGGGGCTGGGGAGGGGGCAGTGAGGGACGCCCCAGCTGTGGACCGCGGGCGGGGCAGCAGAGGGGCCGGGGGCTGGAGATCCTGGAGGCGGGGCGGGGGCTGGGGGCCCCGGGGCGGGACAGCTCTGGAGCCCAGCCGGGCGCGGCGGCTGCCCCCCTCCCCGGGCCGGGCGCGGCGGCTGCCGGCGGCGACGTGCGCCTGCCCGGCTCCGCGGGCAGCAGGACGGCGCTGGGGCTGCCGGCGCCGCCGGAAACAGCCCCGCGCAGGCGGCCGCTGGCGTCCGGCGCGGCCTCCCGGCTGGTCTCCAAGTTTCCCAGATGAGCGAAGAGCGGCGCGGAGTCCAGGCCCGAGCGGCCCTGCTCCCGGCTCCCCCGATCCCCGGTTGCTCCTCTCCCCGGCTGCCCGGCTGCCCGGCTCCCCGGCTCACCGGTTGCCCCGATCCCGGGCTGCCAGGCTTCCGGCTACTTCGCTCCCCGGGCCGCGCTCCGCCACGCCCTCGGCGCTGACCCCGCCGGCCCCACAAAAGCAGTGACTAGCTTCGGAGCCCCCGGCAGTGGGAGGCGCCGGACAGCGCCCGGGGCCGCCCCACGGGGCCTGGCCCGGCTCCCCGCCGCCGCCGCTCCCGGACCTGACAGGCGCGACGGCACCTTACCTCCGGTGTCCTCGAAGCGCGGGGACGGCCGGTCCCGCAACACCGCGCTCCATCCCGCGCAGGCCTCGTCCTCTAGCTCGAGCTCGGCGGGCGCCGGGGCGCCAGGCGGCGGCGGCGGGGCGGCCCCCGGGGGCGCAGGGCGCTCGCGCTCGTCGTCCGAGGAGGCGGCCGAGGAGGAGCGCGAGGCGGCCGAAGTGCTGTAGAAGGGGTTCCCGCCGCTGTCGGCGCCCGACTCCCCAAACACGTCGTCCGAAATGTGCAGGCTCTCATAGCGCGCGCGGGCCGCCTCGAGCAGCGCCGGCGCCCGCCTGCGCGCGCCCGCGCCCTCGGCCATGGCCCCGGCCGCCGCCCGCGCGCCCGCGCCCCACAGCGCCTCCCAGCCGCACGCGCCGGGCCCAGGGCCCGCGCCGCGGCCCGCCGCCCCCCACCAGCGCAGCCCGCAGCACAGCGCCCGGCGCCCGGCGCCCGGCCGGCCCGCCGTCTTGGCCGCTCGGGCCGCGCGCCCGCGATGCGCCTCGGAGCTAAGCGCCGCCGGCTGCGGCCGCGGCGGGAAGGGGCTCCGGTGCCAGGCGCCGCTGCCGCCCGCGTCCGCGCCGGCTGCGTCCCCGCCGCGCCCGGCCGCCGCGTCCCCGCGGGCCTTCCCCGCGGCAGCCGCGCTGCGCCGCCGACCTTCCCGGGCGCGAGCCGCCGGGCGGGCCCGCCTCGCGCACCTCAGCCGCCGCCAATGGGGAGCCCGGCCCGCGCGGGGCGGGGCCACATGACGTCCCTCCCCCCTGAGGGGCGTGGTCGCAAGACACTCCTCCACATGGCGCGGGGAACGCGGGCAAGCACGACCCCGCATCTCAAGGGCTGGCCAATAGGGGGTGATCTCAACTCGCGTGGGGCGGGGTCACAAGACGCCCCTCCCACGTGTGGGGCGGGGCCGCAGGACGCTCCTCCCCGGGGGCGGGGCGCGCGGCTGGGGCTGCGGAAGCGGTGCGGGTCCCTGGCGGTCTCCTCAAGCAGGGATCGTCGCCCGCAGGCCGGCCGCGGCCCATCCAGGGTGTGGTAGGGGGCGGAGCCGGGGCCCAAGAGAGCTCGGCGGATCCGAAAGGCGCCCACGGCTCGGGCCCGCCGGGCTCGCTCTCCGCTCGCGCAGTCGCTCTCAGACCCGGAGCTGTCCGCCCGGTGGTTCTGAACTCCGCGCGGCGGGCAGTGCAGTGCGGGGCTCCCCCGCAGCCACGAGCCCCACCCCCTCCCGCGCCTTCCCGCGCCAGTCAGTGTCTGCGATGGGAGCTATTCCCGAGCGCGCCCGGAGTGAGGCCATTCTGCACGCGACGCAGCCCCTATCGCCGCGACCACGCGGGTCCGCACAGCCGGTTCCCGGGTCCCGGTCCGCGGAGCAGCCCGGGGTCCGCGCGGCGCTGCAGCCGGACCCGTCAGGAGGAGCCCGGCCAGCGCAGCTGAAGGACAGCGAGTCCGACTCGGGCTCGAGCCAGTCCTCAGTGGACACTGAGGCAGGCCCGGTCCTGCAGGGCCGCACGTTTTCTCCTGCAAACAATGAAATGGGGATCGGACAGCGTTGGAGGGACAGGCCGTGCGGGGTGGTTACCAGCTCAACAGGCTGCGACTGCAGCGCGAGGTGTGGCACGATGGCCTGGCGTCGCCTAGGAAACCACAGGCTACGCCTCCCGCGCCACCGAGGTCGCCCCGCCCCGAACGTGCACCGATGCGGCGCTACCCGCGCCCCCCCAACACACACACACACACACACACACACACACACACACACACACACACACACACACGCGCGCGCCGAGCCCGAGGCCTGCCCCGCACGCCCCAGGCAGCCTCGCAGAGGACTGCCTGCCACCCCACATCTTGACCGGTAAAAACTCAACGACTGTTCAGAGACCAGTCTTTGTTCGGCCCTCTGCTCTGTGTAAACAAGCAGCTCCAAACCAGAAGAACACGTGGCCAAGGACACATGGTCTTTTTCTGGTTGTGAAGAGAAAGAGTACGAAACGATTAAAAAATACTCCTTCTCTGGATTCACTCTCCTTGGTGCTACCCTTATGACTCCCCGTTGATGATTTTTAATATTAACATTATGTGCCGATAATTACAGAATCCATACTACACTGAGATCTCTTAGCTTTGAGTCATTGGAACATCTTCCAAGTAACTTTGACATATAATTACTAAGTAATCTTAAAAAAAAAAGTCTTATTGAGCTTTTAGCGAAGAGTTTTCCCAAAGAGCTCCAAGGTAGTAAAATCAACCCATCTGTGTAGACAACTCCTCAAGTTTTGGGAGTCCCTGTGTTAGGCAACAGGTTAATTTCCACTTCCAGTCTTAGCCTCCACATGTGGCATAATGCACCCTCCTTTTATGGATCCCAAAGAAAGAAAAAAAAAAAGGCTGCCATAGAAAAATATACTACAATGTTTTTATTTCACTCTCAATTTTAATTTAAATTTTGAAAAAATGGTGATAACTATTTGGACATATTTTATAATGCATCATCCTAATGCATACATAAAGATAAAAACATAAGTGAAAATAATTGACTAATGTGTTCCTAATGCCACAGATTTTCACTGTCCTTACTTGTTATCTAACTCGGTTGTTGAGAAAGCCCTGGTCTCTCCCACAGAAACCACTCAGAGCTCCCCCTCTCCAAGCTGCTGCCCCACTGCTCTTCTGCTTGGCTTCATGCTGGTTTTGTGTTGGTTTTGTTCAGTTTTGCCTTATCTAAGTGTAGGAAAATGGAGAAGAACAGAGAAGGAATAGGCTAGACTCGAATCTCAACAGGCTAGGACTGTTTATTGCCAGTGAATAGCACAGACCTTCCCACGTGTTTGGAGGCTGGCAAGGGACTGGATTTGGGGGCTGGGTTTATATGGGTTGTAACTCAGAAGCAGAAAATAAAAAATGGGTTATGATCTCTTGGGGGCCACGGGCAGAATCCTTGGCCAGTCCCTGAGTAGAATGCTCTGCCTGGGCTAAGGGTGTTTTCAGCTAAGCCAAGGTCAGAATGAACTGCCTGCAGAGGAGCACGTGAGCTCACACCTGGTGTTGTGCTTCACCTGGGAGAATAAGGAGGGAGTCAATCCTTCATAATCCATCTTTAGATGCATGAAAAGAAGGGAGAGGCAGGGCCTTCATGTATCTTTGGATACATAGAAAGAATTGGCTGAAAGGGGAAGCCACATGGAGTTGTGAGAACAAAGCAGATTCCCATTATTCGAAACCCTGGAGTATAAAAAGTGGAGGGACAGTGTAGTCTTTTCTGGCTACTTGCTGCTGACATGGGGGCATCAGGGAGTCACTGGGGCTGGGGTCTTCAGGGTCCAGGTCTGTGCTGGGCAGGGCAAGGCAGTGTGAGGCCTCTGGTTGCCTGCAGTAATAAGATGTCCTTGGCTTGCTCCCAGGTGGTGTCCTGAGTGAGGGCTGCTAACCTGCTAAAGAGAAACTTGAAGAAGGTAAGACCAGCCAAAAGGCTGACAAGGTGGCAGGACTGGTTAAAACGAATGACAGGAAAATCCACCCTGGGCACAAGCCATTTGGAGCATGAGCCCATAACCAGTCAGAAGCCAGGGCTAGATTGGAGTGGTTAAGGGCCTGGCGAGAGGCTTTGATCATTTCCTGTCAATAGCAGGTAACAAAGGCAAGAGTATAAGTTCCTGTCCAGTTAGAAGGTAGATATGTATGGGCATTAGATGGGCAAGCTTATTAACTATTTTCTTTTGCTCTCCCAGCTCTGGTTAATTTTGAAAGGGCAAGCACAACGTGATTTCATTTAGGACATGACACCATCCCCTCTGACTCCAGGACTAGCTTTGTGCTGGGTGTCTAGGAGCTCATTGCTGCGCTGGCTTGTCCCAGCTGGCATCTCTTTCATCAGTCATGGGATTTGTACTCAAAGCATGGACACTGTCCCTGAGCACTTCTGCTCAAGGCTAGTGCTCTACCACTTTGAACCACAGTGCCACTTCCAGAATTCTGCCACAGCACCATTTCTAGAATTCTGCTGGTGATTTAGAGAGGGATTTTTCTGCCCAGGCTGGCTTTGAACAGTGATTCCCTAGATCACCTCTTACTCCTAATTGAAGCAACAAGGAGATCAAATCAAAATAGCATTGTTCTTAATTGCATTTAACACTTTAGGATACTAATTGAGGTTAAGACATTGTAGGTATCACTAGGTCTTTGTAATTACAATGAATATAGGAGTTGGTGTCCTTTAGGTTTTATATCCAAGACAGCTTACAAATTAAACAAGGAAAAATGGCATTTGAGGTAAAAGGTATTCATTTGAAGGATGTTGACATAAACAAACACATAAGTGAACTTTGGTTTATACAAACAATTACTATCATAGATGGACATAAAGAATGAGATGCTAGTTTTTTAATTAGCATACCAATTAACTCATAAGTTCTCTTTCAAGACATATTCATACCTTCTGCTACATGCTTCTGGGGGGTTTTCTTCCTGCTTTGGAACAAACAAACAATACTTACTTTCCAAATCCTTTCTTGTCCAAAGGAAACCATTTTTTGTTTCCTCAATTCCTTTTCCAAGGCTTTCTTTACTAACTTTCCTTTTTTTTTTTTTTTTTTTACATTTCTTTACTGGTTTTTCCTTAATTTGTGTTTTGGATTAACTCTTAGACACCTTTGCTTGCACCCAAATCTGATTAGGTTTAAGTTTAAAACTGTCACTTTTTTTTTCCCTATGGATTGTGGAGCCAGGTTATCTCAGAACTGCCCCACGCTAGTTCACTGTGACTCCAGTCAGGCTTCAGGGCAGAGCAAGTTGCTAGATTTTAGGCTCACATCAGTTTCCATTGATAAAGATTTGCCCTTTTAATGAGTAGCACACTTCACAAGTAACTCCTTTAACACAAAGTTCACATTAGTTACAATTTCAGTCAAAAAGCAAATAATTTTTACACCATAGTGACTGTTTCCATGTAGCACAATGAGGTTACTTTGAATATGTTCATACACACACACTTGTGCACAAGAGTTTTAAGGCATGCTTAAGTTTTTTTTTAAAAAAGTGAAAATCGGCAGGCTGATCCTCAGCTCTCAGCCTCCTAAATAGCTAGGATTACAGGTGTGAGCCACCAGCACCAGGCTCTTTCTATAATTTTTATCTTTGTGTTTGAGATAGAGCCTTACCATGGTGCCTAGCTTTTAGCCTGGGCTGGCCTTGAAGCTGAATCTTCCCAGTTTCTACCTCTATACCTCCACCATACCAGCACCCTAGTCTGCATTCTTATGGTATCCACCTTTTATTTTTTGATTGTCAACTGCACCCACTCCACTCTTATTTGGAGGCATTCAG